AGACATGACGTTATTATCCCACCCCACCCCACCCCACCCCACACAACAGGCAATGACGACCATGGGGCAAGTACGTGTGAAACGCACTTAGACATGACGTTATTATCCCACCCCACCCCACCCCACCCCACCCCACACAACAGGCAATGACGACCATGGGGCAAGTACGTGTGAAACGCACTTAGACATGACGTTATTATCCCACCCCACCCCACCCCACACAACAGGCAATGACGACCATGGGGCAAGTACGTGTGAAAGGCACTTAGACATGACGTTATTATCCCACCCCACCCCACCCCACCCCACAAGACAAGAGAGGAGAAAAGTTGAAAAATAGCCAAAAAGCTGGCGGTCATCTATCAGCCGCCAGCCAACTACATCCACTCCATCAACAGAAGGTTCATGGTTTGGAATTGTTTTTTGACAACATGGACTATGCTTTTGATTGGATACTCATGGTACATGATGCGCTCTGGCAAGAACTTCAACAATGTTCAAGTTCCACTGTTTCCTGACACGCTGAATATCTTTGCAGAACCTCCAGTGACCCATGAAAGTATGAGTGTTGAAGGTTTGATCACTTGGACTTGGGTCAGGGTTCGTGGAAGACTTCGACGCGCAAGTGAATCTGGAAACATAGGAGCTGGCATGAGGTATCAGCAAATACAGCGATCGCTTGAAACATGTTTGCAACAGTTACCAACTGCAAGCTTGTACGACCGAGGGAAGGCCGTGGAATCTTTGAACTATGAACATGAGCTCTCAGAGGACGAGGACTCTCCAAGCTACAATTTGGGAGGGCCAGAACGCAACCTCCTCACAAACAGCCATGGGGAGATCCACCAATGCCTTGTGAAACTCTTGGAACTTCAAAGGGTTGAAACCACTATGGAGCTTTTGAGGATTTTTGCAGAAGTTTTCAAAGCTCCAGACCCTGAAGAATCAGATGGAGATAAATCAATGAAAGAGGAAACAGCATCCCAACGTCTGGCGCTATTGCTCATCCGAGCAGTGTGAGGTGAGCGACCCACACGAATGGGCAGTGATCCATTATGGAAGAGCAACCGAGGAAGCAACAGACAATGAGAGTACGGACGGAGTACAAAAATTTTCAAGAATTCCAAAGCCAATGGAATCAATTTTTCAGTTGGCACCACACGATGCTGTCATTAGGACAAGGCACCAGAATCTTGTCAGTGGCAGCTGTGCCAAACCAGTGTCACCGCACAGAACCCCAATAGAAGTGAGAAACTGGACTATCACGAGTCCTAAGGGGAATAGTAGCAGCAAGGTATGAAAGGTACCAGCTGAGGTGGGGTGAAAACATTGAACTCACTCATGAAGTGCGTAGTGGTGCCACAATTGCCAAGGAATGTTGAACTATCCATGTCCAAATGACTGGGGTTGAAACGGCAAAATTGACCCGTGTGTGGTCAGGCAAGTGTTTTCGTTACACGGACGGGACGAACATTTGGATACGTCCATGCTGGCCATACGCTTTTGAAAACCGACTCAACGCCACCGCTGTTATTTGTACAGCCGGTTGGTGTTCAATGCAAAAATTTTTGCGACACATTCCCAACGACTTGCGCAAATTACTTTGATTTGTTTTTGATGCCCAAATGTGGCTGCATATGATACCACGCACCATTTTCTGGTTGGGAAAAATGTTTTGTAGTTGCCGATGCAGGTATGACGCCTACGAGTTTGTTTGTTTGATTCAAATGGTGTTTCTACAACGGTTTCTGCAACTGTTTTTTTGGTTTGTTGTATGTTTGTCATGTTACTTTCTGACACATCTTCACGTACATGGCCTGAAAATGCTCACATGACCAATGCAACTGCACTGCCATCATCGTGTTGTCCCGGTTTGTTTTGGACTGATTGCAAACACACAGTTGCCAGCAGAGGGGAAAACTACGGAGGCATTGATTGTGAGAAGAATTTCTGACAGAGAGCACAGTCATGGACACGGCACAAATCGAGATGAAGTGTAACAAGTTTCCATAGACTTTGGCATGTAAAACATACATGACCATTCAGGCCTATCTGGCTCAGAAAAGTGTGCGGCTGCTTTTTCGCATGGCAGCGAGCCAAATAGTGGCTTCCTGCTGTGAATCCTGGGGAAGGCGCCTGTGCTGACGCCATAGCGCTTCTGACTGGGATTTGAGGTTTTTCTGGCTGCAATTGGAGGTGGAACTCCTGGACATTTGGATTTGCGTTTGGACCTCATTTGCAATAACATTGGACCCCTGGACTTACATTTTTCACTGGTTGAAACAGTCTGCATACTGTTGCTTGTTACAATACGTTGGATTGGTGGCTCTGAACAGATCTGACGGGTGGCATTGCAATTGTTTGGACTGGTTGGTGGAAATTTCTCCTTGTAGGGTTTGCAATAGAGGTTTTACAGCTTGGTTGAAACAGTGCCTTGCGTGAGTGAGATTGAGAAGGAGGTCAAAGCTGGATTTCGATATGGCTGAATTTAACCCAGCCATTTTCCAAGCTGCGTTGCTGGAGGTAGCTGAGGCCACAAAGGCCGCTACGGCCGCAGTACAAGCTGTCCAGGGAGCTCAACAACAGTTACCTGTTTCTCCACCCCAAACTGCTGGAAGTAGCCCGACAGGATCATCATCTAATGTTGACTGGTCAAAGCTCATCAACAAACCGCCTGTTTTGGAGGGCAAGAGCATAGAGGATGAAAGCAAACTTTTTAGAGACTGGAGCTGGCAACTCACCCAGTTTCTCAGTGCGATTGACTCTGGGTACACAACAGAGATTGAGTCTTTGATGTCTGACCCTTCAAAGCCCCTTGACATGTCAACGGCATCTGCAGAGACGAGACAGCGTGGTGCCAAGTTATATGGATTGCTAGCCTCCTTATGCCGCAATCGAAGCTTGAGTGTGGTTCGAAGTGTTAAGCAATCAGATGGGTTCGAGGCTTACAGACAGTTGGTTTTGACCTTGAGGCCCTCAAACAACAACCGTGGTTTGGCCTTGATGGGGGCGCTGACAAATTGGCAACCTTTCAATATGCAGCAGTTGCTACAGCCCCAACTGCTTCGACTAGAGGAAGCACTGGAAGAAGCTCGAAGAGCTGGCTCGACGATTCCTGACCAACTTCAACAAGCCATTTTACTGAAATGCGTGTCTGGACAACTTAAGACACACCTGAATTTGGCTATACAAGACAGTACAACTTTTCAGGAATTGAGGGAACAGGTCCTCAAATGGGATCGCAGTCAGCAGAAATGGAGCTCACTGGTGTTTGCAGATGAATCTACTTCAACATCGACGCCAATGGAGGTTGACAGAGTCTATGCAGATAACCGCACTTGGGGTTATGGGAAGAAAGGAGACAAAGGGAAAGGCAAGAACCTCAGTTCCAAAGGCCAGTCAAAGGGAAAAGTGAAGGGAAAATTCAAGACAAAAGATGGTAAATCAAGTGGAAAAGGAAAGCAGAAAGGTGATGGAAAGGGCAAGACAGCAGGAAAGCAAGACGGTTCAGGGAAAGGAAAGGGATTCAAAAGTGATTTGACATGCCATAAATGTGGTAAAGTTGGTCACTATGCTCGTGATTGCTGGTCAGTGCGCAATGT